GAGACAGAGTCTCACTAGATCGCCCTGGGTAGAATGCCATAGCATCACAGCTCACAGCAACCTCTAACTCTTGGGCTAAAGTGATTCTCTTGCCTCAGCCTCCCAAGTAGCTGGGACTACAGGCACCCACCACAATGCCTGGCTATTTTCTTTGTTGCAGTTGTCGTTGTTTAGCTGGCCCGGGCAGGGTTCAAACCCGCCAGCCTCAGTGTATATGGCTGGCATTGTAAAATCTGTGCTACGGGCGCCAAGCCTGATGCAGCCTTTTAGAAGGCAATTGGGCAGTGTCTATAAAATACAAATAGCACATAGCTTTCAATAGAATCATCCCACCACTAGAAACCTACCCTAAAAATGTATTGAGCAAGCACACAAGGCTACATTACAAAGATGTTCGTGTGGAACTATTTTCACAGCAGTGAAAAATTATAAACAACCTACTGTACTCCAATGGGATTCTTGTATTTTCTGACAGTTCACATTCTTAGGTAGTTCTTTACACTGTGCTGAACTCTCCTCACCAACACTTCTGCTCCTAGGTGCAAGGTTTCCCTTCCTAGGGCTTCACAAAGCAAGTCTAATCTGAGGTTATATTGTCATTAATTTTGTCCTTGCCTAGGTGTGACTTATATAAAAACTCTGTGGGCTCTGTAGTTCAATATTGGGATATAATGTCTGGAAGTAAGCTTTAGAGTTTTTGTGGCCAGGTGCAGTGGCTCATACCTAGCACTCTGGAAGGGCGAGGTGGGTGGATTGCCTGAGCTCAAGAGTTCAAGAAAAACTAGCTGAGCGTTGTGGTAGGTGCCTATAGTCCCAGTTGCTAGGGAGGCTGAGGCAAGAGGATCGTTGAGCCCAAAAGTTTAAGGTTGCTATGAGCTAGGCTGACGCCACAACACTCTAGCCTGGGCAACAGAGTAAGACTCTGACTCAAAAAAAAAAAAAAGGTGGTGGCGGGGGGAGTGGTGGGGGCTCAGTGCCTGTAGCTCAGTGGCTAGGGCATCAACCACATACACTGGAGCTGGCACGTTCAAATCCAGCCTGGGTCTGCCAAACAACAAAGATGACTATAACCATATACCAGCCAGGCATTGTGGTGGGCACCTGTAGTCCCAGCTACTCTGGAGGCTGAGACAAGAGAATCAGTTAAGCCCAAGAGTTTGAGATTGCTGTGAGCTGTGACGCACTCTACCTAGGGCAACATAGTGAGACTCTATCTCAAAAAAAACAAAAACAAAAACAAAACGAATTTTTAGAGACCCAATTGAATAGAGCAAGTTTCAAAATGAAACAATTGGCAATGATTACAACACATTATAGTCTCACAGAGATATAAAAGCATCCACAGATACTAATTATTTACTTGATCACTCTTGCTTACACTCATAGAGTGGATTTTTACTACTCTGACTCTGCTGTTACTGAGCAATCCTACCTCTTTTTTTTTCTTTTTCTTTTTTTGAGACAGAGCCTCAAGCTGTCACCCTGGGTATAGAGCTGGGGTGTTATAGCTCACAGCAACCTCCAACTCTTAGGATCAAGCGATCCTCTTGCCTCAGTTTTTTTTTTTTTTTTTCCTATTTTAAGCAGAAATAGGATCTTGCTTTTGCTCAGGGTGATTTCAAACTTGTGAGCTCAAGTAATCACCCGCCTCAGCCTCCCAGAGTGCTGGGATTACAGGCATGAGCCACCGCGCCCAGCCCAAGCCTATCTTATCTGCAGCAAGTTGCTGCCAACTCCGTTGAAAGGCCACAACGTACACAGATCAAAACTGAGTGGTGCTGCTGGGAAGCATTCTCATCCCACAGTAGTTCCCTGGTCTTCCCAACTGAGGAAGACCATCAGAAGTCTGGTTAAAAATGGAGTCGTCCCTCCAAAAGCTTCCCTTCACATTTGGCAAGCATTCTTGAGAGGAGGATAACAGAAAGAACTCCCCTGCTTCTTCGCCTTGCCTGGTAGAAGCATTGCCTGTCTGATGAATCACAGAGCCAGTGTGTTGGCCAAAGATTGGCAAGGGCAGGACTGTGCTCATTCACCCAGAACGGTTGATTACTTAAAAAAAAAAAAAAAATCTGTAGAAGAGATTTACATGGGCAAGGACCTTTCACATTGGCAAGGGTTTTTTCCAAAGGCTTTTCAGGTGCCTTAATCCACTATATGCCACATCATGTCTCCCAAAATTACGTTGTAAACTGTAGCCAGAAAATTCTAAATGATTCCACTTCAGTCCTTAAAGGATTAATCCATAAATATAGTTATTTATAACATTAGTTATTTGAGAAGATTAACCATAGTTAATAATTTGCACCTGATGTCCCAAAGAAGGAAAGAAAAAGAAAACTTAGTTGGTTAATTGTATCTCTATTTATCTTTTAGTAACATTTAATCTCTCTTGAAGAGTAGTAGCCTCTGTACTGGCTGACTCTCACTAAAACAACTTCCCGAAGCTCTTTTCCTTGTGTCTATGTGGCACACATTGTAACTCTATTGATATCAGAGGTCTTAGATAGCCCTGAACTTGACATTCCATGCCAATTTATCTAAGCTCCTATTTCTGGCACACACACACAAAGAGTCACTTTTCCAGGCCTCTTCCCTTTCTCTTCCTTTCTATCACCAGCACCATCACCCTTTTATTTTAAGGGTCTTTTCTACTCCTTAAATAAGAAACAAAGAATTTTTTTTTTTTTTTTTGAGACAGAGTCTCAAGCTGTCGCCATCACAGCTCACAGCAACTTCCAACTCTTGGGCTTAAGCATTTCTCTTGCCTCAGCCTTCCGAGTAGCTGGGACTACAGGTGCCCACCACAACGCCCAGCTATTTTTTGGTTGTAGTTGTCATTGTTATTTGGCAGGCCCAGGCTAGATTCAAACACACCCGCTCCAGTGTATATGGCTGGTGCCCTAGCCGCTGAGCTATAGGCGCCAAGCCAAAACAAAGATTTCAATCACTGCTTGCAAATTACATAAAGGCTAGAACTAGTCAAGAGTAATAAACTCACATGAGATATCCAGGTAGAGCCCTGGCTCCCTGACAGGCAACCCAATCACTGAATTCTCATTCCTTCACAATGGCCCTTTGAGGGTAGCTAATAAAATATCAAAATTGTAAGTGTGGAATCTGCAAATGTCAATGACTTCTGGTGTATTCTTTTGACACTTGTGTTGTGATCATTTCTCAGTTTTCTTGGGGAATTCCTCATCTCCTCTTGGCAGGCAACAGGGAACATTTCCCACTCCAGATGCTAAAAATGCCCGAAACTCCCATTTCCAGGTCTCTAGGCAGCTAGGGCTCAGGGATGTGACCGTTGCTTAACCAATCAGCTGCATTTGCTTAGGGTTTTTGAGGACACAGCTGGGGATGGGGAACATTCTTTGGTGTGGTTGCAGTGTTGGCAGCAGTATCTTGTGTCCAGGCAGCCTTGCCACTGGGGTCAGTGTGGCATCCAGCGGCTGACACCAGCTGTATCTGTGACAAAGGCCGTAGCCCCGAGCACGAGGCAGCCCTTTGGGGCTGCCCTCCCCTACCTGGTCCTGTGACAGGATCTTGGTATGTCTCCACATGCCTGGTCTCCCTTGGTTTCTGCTCATTTACCAAGCTTTATTCCTGTAGTACCCAGTGATTCTGTAACCTACCCGGTGTACTTTCAGTGAAAGTTATTGCCTGATTGAATAAGCCAGAATCAGTTTCCATACCCCGTGACCAGGAACCTGACTGATATACCTAAAAAAGCCAAGAAATGCTTCTAAATTTTCTCCGGAGTCTTTCTGTTGCAAGTTAAACTTATTTCTCAAGGCTGGGTGGGGTGGCTCACACCTGTAATCCCAGCACTCTGGGAGGCTGAGGCTCATAGGTTCGAGACCAACCTGAGCTAAAGCAAGACCCTGTGTCTAAAAATAGCTGGGCCTTGTGGCAGGCGCCTGTAGTCCCAGCTACTCGAGAGGCTGAGACAAGAGAATCGCTTAAGCCCAAGAGGCTCTACTGAGGGTGATAAGGTAAAAAAAAAAAAAAAAAACTCATTTCTCATGGTGTGTTTGGGAGACACAGTGATGGGGCACAGAACCAAGGATCTGTCTGCTGGTCTGGACTGCCACTTCCTGGCTGTGTGACAGGCAGGGACAGGTCCCTTCCCAGCTCTGAGCCACAGCTCTCTCACCTGACAGTGAGCGTCTTCACCTTACCAGGGATTGTCCTAACAGCTATGCGGGAGCATTCCCCAGGCATCTGTTTCTCAACATTGGTATTCATACAGATTCCAGGCCCTGCTCCCTAAGATCCTATTGAGCAGGGTTAGTAGCGCTCTGACAAGGAGACCAGATGGCAGAGAGGCAGCAGCACCTCTGAGAAGCACAATCTAAGGATCTCCAAGCTTCCGTCCCGTTCATGTGCTCTGTGACCGCCCATGGAGACTGCTATATTCTATATGCCCAGAACTGTTCTGGCATATAGGACTGATCCAAAAAAAAAAAAAACTTGTATCTGAGTAAAGGGTATATGGAAACTTTCTGCTCTAGCTGTGCAGCTTTTCTATAAATCTAAAATTATTCCAAAATAAAGTTATTTTAAAAGATGAAGGAAGGGAGGGAGGGAGAGAAGAATTCTCACCACACCACATAGACTAAGTCTTCCCCTCACTTTATGTTGAAAAGCACCTCCTGCTGGGCGCGGAGGCTCAGGCCTGTAATCCCAGCACCGTGGGAGGTTGAGGTGGGAGAACTGCTTGAGCTCAGGAGTTCAAGGCTTATCTGAGTGAGAGTGAGAGTGAGACCCAGACTCCTAAAAAAGTGAGAAACCCAGCCGGGCACCTCAACAAGCGCCGGTAATCCCAGCAGCATCGGAGGCTGAGGCAGCAGGATGCCCACAGCCTGAGTCTGAGGCTGCAGTGAGCTATGATGCCACCGCACTCTGCTCAGGGCACAGGGTAGAACTCTGTCTCACCAAAAGTAAAAAGAGAAGGAAAAGCATCTCCTACCAACCTTTTCCTCCACACATTTGCACCCTGCCAGTTATCATTCCACCATCTGTGACTTGTCAGAAGAGACCTGTGGAGCCACCATGTTGTAATTCAACCAAGAAAAGGCTTGTCACCTGCCTACAAGGAGTGTCATTCATTGTGTTTGGCACTATGAAGACTCGAGTTTAAAGCCAGCGTCCACATTTAGTTTCACTGGGCCTCAGTTTCCTCAGCTGTCAAATAGAGCTCACTCCTACCCTGCATATCTTACAGAATTGTTTTAAGAATTAAATGAGGGCTGGGCACAGTGGCTCAGGCCTGTAATCCCAGCACTTGGGAGGCCCAGGTGAGTGGATTGCCTGAACTCAGGAGTTCGAGACCAGCCTCAGCAACAGCAAGACCCCATCTCTAAAAAAAAAAGAAACCATAGCCGGGCTTTATGGCAGGCACAAAGTAGTAGTCCCAGCTACTCTGGAGGCTGAGGCAAGAGGATGGCTTAAGCCCAAGAGTTTGAGGTTGCTGTGAGCTATGATGCCACAGCACTCTACCCAGGGAGACAAAGTGAGACTCTGCCTCAAAAAAAAAGAATTAAATGGGCCTACACCTCCCACCTACCTGGACCAACACTGGTTCCTTGCCTCAGGACAGAGTATTTTGTTTGCTTGTTTGTTTTGAGACAGAGTCTTACTCTGTTGCCCTCAGTGGAGTGCCATGCATCACAACCCACAGCAACCTCAAACTCTTGGGCTTGAGCGATTCTCTTGCCTCAGCCTCGAAAGTAGCTGGGACTACAGGCACCTGCCACAATGCCCGGGCATTTTTTTGTTGTAGTTGTCGTCATTGTTGTTTAGCAGGCCCAGGTCAGGTTTGAATCCGCCAGCCCTGGTGGCTGGCACTCTAACCACTGAGCTACAGATGCCAAGCCAGGATGGAGGATTCTGGACCCTTGGACCTCAACCCTACTCAGCCAAGCATCTTTCAGAGAAGGGTGAAAACAGGACAGATAACATGTGGCTCAAGGTATTATTTTTAAGCTCCATGAGCATGAGTGTCTGCATGAAGTAGAATTAACTGTGCTCATCACCAAAAAAAAAAGATAGAATCAAGTAAAATAAGATCTATCATAATAAGGACACTTACTGTGCTCCAGCTTCCATGCTAAGCACTCCATGAGCATTCTCTTTGTTAATTTTCATAACAACTTTCCAAGACAGGCTAATAACATCCCCATTTTATGGACAAAGAAACTCAGGCTCCCAGGGTAACTTGCTCAAAGTCCTATAGCTGGTGAGGAGAGGGCTGGGAGAAAAACCCAAGGTACCTGACACCAAACCCCTGTGTGTCCTGCTACCCTTGTGATTTTTAAGCACCAAATATTATAGAAACGTTCGTCTTCTTTTTGGTTATCTTCATCCACCCTTTCCACCCCCCCTATTTCCCTCTTCTTCCTCCAGCTGCCCAGAGCAGACCCAAACCCTGGAAATTCCTAAACGGAAGCTGTAGAAGAATTGGTAGTTTGTTACCCCTGGGGGAAGATAAAGCTGGGAATTCCCACCATCTCCATCGCTCCCACAGGGAGTCCAGATGGAGACAAGTGTCCAGGACAGGAAAGGACTTGCCTCTCTGAGAACCCAGAGAACCCTCAGTTCACCTTCCCTTCTGCTCCTTACCCAGGAGGACACTCACAAAGCCAACACCCTGGGGACAACTCCTTGAAGAAACTTTTCGTCATTAGCTTGCGCTGCTTTCCTAGCTGCATCCAAACAAGTCAGTGTTGAATATCTGAAGCCTTTTTTTAAAGAGCTGGCCCCACCCATTCACCAGTACCAGGCGGGCCCCTGCAGGGCCAAGTCCGGCCTTGATGTGGCCAAGGCCCCGGAGCTGGGCGGCAGGCTGTGCTGGGTGAGGCCAATTGCTGCCCAGCTGGGCCCGGTGGGGGGGCATTTGGTGGTGTTGCTAGGCAACCTGGGTAATCAGAGAGGCCGGAGATTGAGCTTCTGGGCCACAGAGATTAACAGCCTCCTTTATCACATAATGCAGACCGTCATTATGCCCAGTTCCAGAAGTCTGCAGCAAGCGCTTTGTGGTCAGAGACTGAAAGGATGCTTTTTTAGCTACAAAAATTAAGAACTGGCTTTTCAGTATGATGGGTTTGTGGTTGTGGTGGTTTTCTTTTTTGCTGCATCTCTGAGGACACACTTGGAATAAATAGGCAAAAGATTCTGACAGCAAAAAAATACCTTCACAAACCCTCATTTCCAGAAGTTTTCCTTTTTCCTAAAGCAAAGCACATTTGCTGTCAATATTGAGGACAATTGAGGTAAGGGCACTCTGTTTCCTGAGGTCTCACTGCAGCCCACTCTATAGAAATCTTCTTCCTTGGAACCTCACAGATGGACTGTGGTTCAGGGTAGGGGGCCTCTCAGCAGAATAGTTTCTCTGGTTCCTTCCCATCCAACAACAGTCATAATACCCCACCCTTTCCAATCTATAGAATGACTTTCACTTATATTATTTTGGTAGATCCTCCTATCTGCCCTGTGAAGAAGACACCATTATTGTCCCCATATCACAGATGAACAAGTAAGGCCAAAAGGGCATCCCTGATTTCATACCTAGCGACAGCAGAACCCGGGCACAAACTCCATAATCTGAAGACTAGATCCTGGGCCTGTCCACCTTGGCCCATTGCCTCCCCACAAAGCCATTTAACATATTATGTATATCTATGTACCCTATTATAATAGTGATGGTGTATACTTGGGTAGACATAGGAATTCCATCCTGGATCTTTTTTTTGGGGGGGGGGAAGGTAAGACAGGGTCTCTGACACCCCAAGCTGTGTTATATACACTAAGGAATACAGTCTGAAAGAATTCCCGATGACAAACACACTGTGGATTTTGTTTTTTAAGGCAACATCTCACTATGCTGCTCTCAGTAGAGTGCTGTGCTGTCACAGCTCACAGCAACCTCAAACTCTTTTGGGCTCAAGTGATTCTCTTGCCTCAGCCTCCCAAATAGCTGAGACTACAGGCACCCACCACAATGCCTAGCTATTTTTTTGTTGCAGTTGTCATTGATGTTTAGCTGGCCCATGCCAGGTTCGAACCTGCCACTCTTGGTGCATGTGGTTGGCACCATAACCACTGTGCTATGGGCACCACCCCTGACAAACACACTGTTGAAATGAATTAACAGACCCAGCACCCCAGAGCATAGAGCTGAAGGAAAACTCTGACCCTGAGCCACTTCCTCCTTAATCAAAGGAGAGTTGGCTCAGTCTCTTATGCAAGGAGTCAAAATCATTGCTTTCATTAGATATTTGCAGGTATTTTTCCAAAAAGGCTTTCACTGCCTCATCGAGAATATTTTTTCAATACTGGTCCATTGATAATGACCAACTGTCCTAGTTTGCCCAGGACTAGGAGTTTCTTGGGATGTAAGACTTTCAGTGCTAAATGAGGGCAAGCCAAGGACAGTTGGTTACCCTATCATGGACCACCTCCAACAAAATCATCTGTGTGATTCAGATGATTGGTGAACCAACAACACTGGCTCTAATCTTAGGGCAGTGGTTTTCTACCCCAGCCACACATCAGAATCACCTAAGGAGATTAAAAAGTTTATGTGAGGGAGTGGGGAGAAGGGCAGGGAAGAGGAGGGAGGAGATTTGGTAAGTTCCACCTAACAGGGACGATTTTGGTGTATATGGCATACTGCCTGGGTAAAGGGCCAACTACAATTTGGACTTTCCCCAACAGATGAAAATAATATAACCTAATTATCTGTACCCATATATTAATCTGAAATTTTTTAAAAGGGGTGGGGTTCCTGATACTGGTATCTTTTAATGTGCAGCCAAAGCTAAAAATTTCTGCCCTAGAGACTTAAATGCAGAGGATCTGAGCTCAGGTTTTGCCCAGGAATCTGCCTGAATTTTTAACAGCTCCCCTGGGAGGTTCTTCTGTATACCATGTTTTTATAACCAGTGAATGCTGATGTGATGTGTGCATTCATAGGTAAGCATTCCCTGAATGTCTTCTGTGTGTTAGGCTCTGGAAACACACAGGGAAAAAAAAAAAGAAAGAAACCACCTCCTGTTCCAAGCCGTCCTATTCAGGGGGCAATAAAGACCTATAAATTGTCCTGACATAGTATACAGTGATTTAGATTAAAAAGTGGGTCAACACCATCAGGGTGGTTATGGCTATTCAGTTTCCAGAAGCCTAGTGTGGTAGACTAAAGATGGAGCATATAATTTGCCATTCCTCCCACTGAGAGACGGGGTTTGTTTCCCTTCTCCTTAAATCTGGGCCAGCCCCATGACTGGTTTTGACCTACATGACGTGGCAGTAGTAGTGCTGGGTACTCTCCAAGGTCAGCACTTAAGAGACAAGCAGCCCTCACTTTTGCCCCTTTGGGAATGTTCCCTCTTTGAAGCCTGACATCGTAAGAGGTTGACTATCTGGAGGGCCACCATGCTATGAGGAAGTCCAAGCTACCCACGTGGAGAGAGAGGCCATGTAGAAGACCTCTGAGGTGCCAGACCTGTGAATGAAACTGATAGAATCAAATGGAGGAATCTGCCCAAATAGAACCAACCCACCCAAATAGAATGTCCCACCCAGGAAAAAGGGAATGTGCCAACCCCTACCCTTCCAATCCTTTAAATTTCCATCCACCTTAACCCACGTGCTGACTTCCTTCTTGAACTCAGTTCACTGGCACTCGGGCGGGAATAAAGGCCCATGGTGCCCACACAGAACCTGGACTCTGTTTCCTTTTGTTTCGTGTTTCAGAATAATCCTTTATTTTCAGTCTTTGACCTCTCAGAAACCTTCTTGACCTTCCAGCCTAGATCATCCACTAGTTAGATACAGCCAACTGAGGCTCAGCACCTGTAGCACAATGGTTACAGTGCCAGCCACATGCACCAAGGGTGGCATATTCAAACCCAGCCTGGGCCAGCTAAACAACAATGACAACTGCAACAACAACAAAAAAACAAATAGTCAGGGGTTGTGGCAGGCACCTGTAGTCCCAGCTACTTGGGAGGCTGAGGCAAGAGAATCACTTAAGCCCAAGAGTTTGAGGTTACTGTGAGCCGTGACACCACAGCACTCTACTAAGGGCAACATAATGAGACTCTGCCCCCCCCCCAAAAAAAATACAGCCAACTGAATGAGCCCAGATGATACTATTACATGGAACTAGAGAGCTGCTCAGCTGAACCCTCCCAATTCCTGACCCACAAAATCATGACAAAATAAAATGTCATTTTGAGTCAGTAAATTTTGGAGTGTCTTATACAGCAATAGCTACTGACACACCTCATCTGAAGCAGAAGACAAAATGACATCTCACACCATTCTGCCTTTCCATTAATACTGCACATCTTCCATAGACTAGATAACAGAGGTCTCACCCAAAATAGCCTCCCATACTGGTCCCCACCTCTGTTTCCACTCCCGCCTCCCTCCAAAACAAAACAAAACCTCAAGTCAGAATACATCAACTCTCTGTATAAAGTCCTGCAATGGTTTCCCATTGTCTTTGGGATAAATACAAGATCCTTATCATATCTGCTAAGAAGATCCTGTATGACCTAGCTCCTGCCCTCTATGGAATTCAGCTTCTACCGCTCTCAACAACTCTGTACTGAAGCCTCTGGGACTTCTTCTTTCTGTTCCTGCAACACACCAAACTCTCTCCTGTCTCCAGGTTTCTGCACATGTTGTTCCTTCTACACAGTCTTCCCCGACCCCAACTCCAACACATACACACAAGGCTGGCTCCTTCGTCACCACTTTGGCCCGGGATGTCTTCCCTGCCCACTCCTTCTCCCACACCCTTGTAAGCTACCACATTTCCTTGCTTATTTGTTCCCAGCACTTACCACTACCTAAAAATATCTAGTTTGTTTATTTTCTGTCTCTTTCTACTAGACCACAAGCTCCAGAAAAGTAGGAAGTGTTTATTTTATATTCCTTCTGACCCCAGCAGCTACCATAGTGCCTGGCAGAGGACAGGGGCTCAGTGTTTGCTGAATGAGCCATCAAATGAATGAAGAAGGAAGGAGGAAATAATGGAAAGAACTCTGATATTACAGGAGTCAGAAAGGTTCAGGAGTTCTGCCTCTGCTTACCTTCAACTAATCAGTAATCTCATCCCCAATAGGAAACACATGGCAGGTGATATTTACATGTACCATACATCACAAGTCTTCACATTTTTCTTGTTGCTGTTGTTCATAAACCCCTAAAAGAATTTTGAAAAAGCTATGTCTCCTCTCTCACATCTTTAAGTTAATAATTGAAATTATTTTTTACAAGTTAAAATTGTTTCCAAGACCAAATTTCCTGGCATAGTCTTTGATACAGACATGCTTTAAATATATTTTCACCCAACCCTTGGGGCTACAGATTTAGCTTGTTCAGTTGATAGAAAATGCCTACCATATAATCCAGTTAGCAAAGCCAGTCTTCACTATCAAACCAATCAGCCAAATCAGACTGATTTGCTGCCAATAAGAAAATCCATCTTCATTTTTAAAAAGTTCTA